ATAACTCGTACCCCGTCAAGTAGATCACCAGAAGAAGAAGGGATAACAATAGATCGTACGTGCACATGCTTCTGTTCGATCGCTTAAAGTCGATGCGTGGACACGGGAGTAAGCGTGGGCATGTTGTCTGGCCTTACTCTCGTCAAAGTTGGGAGCAGGGCCCCGTTAAAACTGTTTAAACCCACGTGGGAGGTGGCTCCTCTCTGCTCCTACCTCTTGATCGCAGAAACCGCCGTTCGAATGTATCGGTACTGCTATCAGAAGACGGCGACAAATAGAAAACCGGGTGTATTCAAGATAAGAGGGCCTCTGGTCAAAGCTCGACGAATCGGAGCAAACAGATACCACTTCGGTACATGGCATACTTCTGTTTCAGTAGCTGATTTCACGCTTTCGTTATCGCAATTTTGTCACTCCCCGAAGCATGTTCGTCTCTTTAACAGCGATGCAATTATCAATCGTACTGCAAGAAACTCTCCCCTCTGTGTCACACTTAATAAGAGAACTTGACCATTCGAACCGGAATTATAACGTTGTTCCGGGGAAACTTTTCCTCGATTGATTATACATGGAGGTTGATTTAATAAGAGTCGATTATGACCGAAACGAGATAAACCGCAATGCGCCAATTATGCAACAGGTATTAAGTATTGATTTAATAAACACCGATCATAATCAGATCAAGAAGCGGTCTGGACGTGATTTGAATAATCGTACGGGTGCAAAAATGATTCGGTTACGAGCGACCGTCTGAAAATTCAACGACGACCAGTTGAATTTTCGCGGCTGGACGCTGAGGTGCTCCAGTTAGCCGCGTAATTGTCGCCCGGCGGCTATTAATAATTTATGGAATAACAGCGAGCATAAAGGGCAACTCGGCCGCTGTGAATTCCACCTGGTACTATCGAGATGTCTATCGTTTTTACGGCGACCTTTCGCACACGAGTTATCGAGCGAGATGGACCGGTATAGTTATGCAAGTAACACGAAGTATGTATACATTTAGTAGCGCGATGCACGTAAAAAGCATCGAGATCGCCGTGAGGCGAGGGTGATGTCATGCTTTAAATTCGAAAAAGGAAACGTTTCATGCCGGAGAAAAAGGAACGTGACAACGCGATAGAGACGGAGAGGAAAAGAGGCAGAGCGAGCGAGAGCGAGAGAGACTGCAAGTTTGCGTTATCCTGTGTCCTTGACATCGATACGATACACCTTGCCATAATGATCGCGTATTGTGATCCAGTTGTAACGAGAGCCGTGTCAAAATAATTCCTTATTTTCATCGAAAAGACATTCTAGATCCCCGTGCGTTCTAGGCACCTAGATGCAACTAAGTAGTGATAGAGAACCTCCGTGAACTTCTAAAATTAGAGCAAGCTTAATCTAAATTTCAACGAGGCAAACGCGTTATTAAACGCGCATATACAACCGGGATTTTCGTTGGAAAAATATAACGCAGCAGAGATCAATCCAGGCTTTCCGAAGAATGTTCGATTTAACTGCGGTAGAAGAAAATTCGGTCCAGATCGATAGTGCCTATCCTGGCAAACTACAGGGTAGGCTTCTTGCCAAAATCGCGACAATGGCGAGTCTGATGAAAAATTAAAAAACGAGCAGCAACTTGCCGCGACTTAATCACGGCATCTTCGTTAAACAAATAGGCTGTCTGAAGTAGAGGTGGTTCTCTTCGACCGATGAATTTCCTATTCTCTCGAGACGTGACTACGGTGATCCTTTGTCGCGTATCGAACCGTAACTTTCGTCGTTCTTCTTTCTTTATCAACCCTTATCGACTGGCTAACGAATCTCCAACCAACCTGTATTATACCCTGTATTATGAAAAAGGCCTGCTGAAGGCGAAGAGAAAATCGAAGTTGCAAGGAACACGAGCGTGTATCACCAGAAGTCGCGTGGTTTCCGAATAGTTTCCCTTTTCGCAGTGAAAACGTGTTCCCCCTCGCATGTTACGGATATTTTCGAGTTAATAGCGAGCCTAGAGCAACAAGTGGCCCTAGATAATGATGGTCTGATGCTCTTTGGTTCTAGTCTTTTTTTCTTCCCCCTCAAATGTAAATCCTGTTGGACAATCTGCGAAAAGTTCTTCCCCCAAACTTTTCACCAGACCGTTTCATTCAGATCGAGAGCAGAGCTACACACAGCCGGCAGATTTTCTTTCCCGGCTAGGTACCTAGGTATGAGAAAAACCTAAGAGAAACAGAGCAACAACAATAAAAAAAAAAAAAAAAAGCTATTCTAAATATAGGAGTGAACGAGCAAACTGTATACGTGTAACTATGCTTGTTTAGTGTGCGTATTTCGCGCGGTACACGCGTACGCACGTAGAGAAGTGTAGAACCGTAGGTGCGTGGTGGAGAATATAGCAGAGAGGCTCGTGCATTATGGACGAGGCTGAATTTTAACCGCAAACTTCGACTTGGTCAACTGCTCGTCGTTTATCACTGTACACCGGGAGGAGAGGGCAGCTTTTCTGCGCTTCTCATGCAGCTCGTACCGCGATGACGTAAGCTTATTGACCGGTGAAATTTGGCTAGTGTCAATTTTTCACTGTTCACGTATCCTGACGTCATCGTCTCATCGAGATATTGTCCATGAATCGAATCGACCAACGCCTAACGTGCCCTCTAAAACAACGACTTTTCTCGCGATTTTCCCACCAGATAAACCACAGCTAGCGTTCGTAGAAACTCGCACGGAAATGGTAAGGAAAAAGGAGAGAGAAAAAAAGCGAGGAATTTGACTTCGCAACTTTCCCTTGAATGCACGTTTAACGAGACACGGTGTAACCATCGTGTAACAACGTGAACATTCCTCTAAAGCAACTATTTCATACATAACACGGTGGTTGTTCGTGTGGCAAAGGTGTGAATTGGAAAGAAAAATGTTGCTTCTTTCTACCGCGTGTTTAGCGAAGAATAGATGATTAAGAGGCTCGAGTTGCGGGAGTTAAAAGGGTATCCTGGCCTGATTGTCTTTATTAGGGAACGATTGTACTCACGTACGAAATTGGATTCGTCGAAACTGCCTACGACTAGATGACAAACTCCCTTTTTAACGATACGTCCCCGTCTGCCGCCGTGTGTTCTCGTTACTTCGTTGAAAAATATCGAGTGTGTTGCTCTTCTATCTGTTACCACGGAACATTTAAACTGAACCTAATGGCTCTAAATCTTCCGACCGTATACCCTGTACCTGAGACACACCGTTGCCAAAGGACACTTTACTTACATGGTGTGAAAGTTTTTTCCCCTTATACGTTTCGCCTGTGGTAGAGAACCAGCGGAGAAGTTTCGCGGCATCTCTCTCGACGCGTGGAGGAGATCGGATCGTCGTAAATAATCGTTTTCATTTAGAGCGTGGACCGACGATTATTGTAATTGGAAATAACTCGCGGCGAGATATCACGTCACGCGACCAAGCATTATTAAAACAAAGGTCAGGTTATCGATTTTTCGGCGGTTTAAATGCTTTGTGGTAGAAAGTTAAACGCATCGTTAATTGTAATGTATCAGCTCTATACATAGAAACAGATTAAGCTCTACCGAATACTTGGTTTACGAAAATTGTTGGAAGAAACTACGGAACATAATGGGCTTCTAATCTTTCGATCTTCTAATTTTTCTAGAAATCTAATTAGAGATCTTATACATTTATTCAAGAATAATTCGTCGAGTGAGCAATGTGTTAAAATAACTCCAGAATTGCCCATTAGAGTACTTAATTGCTCGATAATATAATGATAAATCGTATGGATCATTTTTGTTGGGGATAGTTAACTGGTTGTTCGAAGAAAAAGAGAAAAAAGAAACCTATTGTTAGGATGGAAATTGTTAATCGAGGATGAAAATGGATAATGATAACGACTGTAAATCAGACTACACAGTCTCCCAACCGAAGATTGAGCAATTGAAAGGTCGTGCGGACGAATCTTTCGTAAGATCCTTGCCTAAAGCGAGGTTCGAGCTGCACCTGGCCTCTTCTGTACCGTTTAAAACATCGGGGAAAGCATTTTTCTTTTTCTATTCTTTTTCTCAGCTCGTAAAACCGAATTTCATTTACAAATCAATCACGTTACTGTCGCGGATAGTATCGTCCATTTGCGAGTATCGAGCGTAGAAAGTTTCGAGTGCACACTGAGATATAGGTCGACGAAAATAAAATGTACACAAATATGTTTTCAATCGGAGGGAAAAATCTCGAAATATTGTATACGTTCGTTCTTTTTTTTTCTCCAAGTAGTAGTTTTTTTTTTTTATCTCTGACAGACGAATAAGATTGCGTGTGATTTCTGTGAATAGGTTAGACGATGTTTGGCAAATTAACGTTTTCAACTTATGACGCATACGAATAATGAAATTCAATAAATGAGCACCTCTGCCCGTACGCACACAATCTACTTTGGTTTGTCACCCGGCACACCCCACTAACATTTCGACGACTCTTTGAAACATTTTCTCATTCAACGTTATATTTCGATCATTTTTATGGTACAGAACGTAAAGATTGTACAAGTTGTAAACAGTTTCTTATACTTCTAGTGAATGAATAGGTTGAAATGGTAAAAAAAAGGCAGTAGGTCTTTTGCATGGTCTTGTTTACATAACAAAACGACAGCCGTTCGTTGTGAATGATAAAAAGGGTGATAAAAAAAAAAAAGTAAGAAAAGGTAAAAAAAGAAGTTGGCTTGACAGGCAAATCGTGACGGTGGCTGTTGAAGCGTTTCCTTTTTATTCAGAATTCAGGAACTGCGGAAGAATACGATGCTTTCTTGTGTAAATCAACTGAACGCGAAAGTTCGTGTGTTGTAAAAGTTCCTGAGAGATTGCGTGTGATATATTTCGATCTAGATGAAGGGGAAAATTTAGTTAAAGTGTACGTCGTTACCTTGGGATTGCCATTGGTCAGCCATGGTATGATGTTGTCGATAAACTGTCCGATGTCTTGACACTCGATACTCTTGCTGGAGTCACCCAAATAATTCAACAGTAAAGTACCAACATTCAATTTTTTCTTGATGTCCGTCGTTGACAGGAGCGGCATAAAACCGTCCATATCACGCGGATTCACCGCCATGGTGGCTAAAATGCACGTCGTCCCCACACCTTCGCGAGTCTTTCAACGAAAACTGGATATTTCACTCGTGCACGTCAAAGCACATAACTCTGTGTCGTTTCACGATGCACGAAAACTAAACACGCGTCTTTCGTCATGCCAACGACGGTTACCACCAAGTACACGACTACCGGAAGCAAACTGTATGCGCGATTTAAAAGCCATACGCAAAACAAGTACTTTTTCTCCCCTGGTTGCTTCGCGACCGCTGTCGCGTGAGATATACGAGAGATATCTTATACAAGATTTCGTTGAGCGTTACACGATTAAATAACAAACACCGCTCGCATTTTAATTTTATTACGCACGAAAAATAATGAACATTTGAATGTAACGAAAATTATCGGCACCGTGCACGCGACGCCATTTTGATTTCTCGATCGTCTGTCTCTCTTTCTCATGGACGATCGAGGCGCTGCGTAGTTCAAGTGGACAACGCGGTAACTCGTTGTCATTCGTCATGTTGCCTCCATTTCGAAATATTTCCGAATAATTTTACCTTTTCGCCCTTTTAAATATTTGTAAGTACATTTTAATTCTAATTGTCGATCGATTAACTCACAGGCCTTTTAATATCTGTACGTAGAACTTTCATTTTTCTGCGTAATTTGTCTAAGTCAATTTATGCGTGCCGCAATTTTTGAACAAATTTTTCTAGACCTCGGTTCAAATTTAACTACTGCTATTTTTAAATTTCAATTTGAATTTTCAAATATTTAAACATAACATGACTGAATGTTTGAATATTTGTATGTCTAAATATTTCAACATATTTCGGTATTCGAATATTTGAAAGTTTAAATTTAATTTGCTAGGATTAGAATAGGATCGGTCCATTGAAAAAAAGAAAAAACCGTTAAAGATGGAGTCCTAAAGATACAAAGGGCACACTCGTGTTATTAGCTATGTAATTCTGCAACCGTATTTTAATGAAGATGACGATATATACATAGTTACAATCACATATACAATATTATATGTATATTTACAATCATCGTTAATTAATTATGCGCACACATTATACGCAACGTCGTTATCGTCACACTTTCAGCCAAGAAAATATCTAGTAAAATATTTACGAGCATGATCACTTTCGACTTTATATCGAAAATAACGATATAATCGTGTTAAATCTCGACGCCAATGCTTTTGAATTTCAATATAATTTATCTGTAACACGTAGTTGAAGAATTTCGTATGATTTTTTCAATAATCTGGTTTCTATAAAATTATATAATCATGACTAGTATATCACAATGGAACTGCGAGTGAGAATTTAATATATCTTTCGTTTTTTATAGACAACTAAAACCGTTAAAATTGTTTTTTATCAAATTTTTCAAGAAAATACGAAAAAATGATCGTTTTAAGAAAATATTCTCCGTTAAAAGATATAAATTTTTATCATTTTTGTACAATCCATGCATGTATGTATGTATATATGTACATATACAAATATATACACACACCTAAAAAAATAATCATAGAATCTGGTGACAGAAAAAAGAACGTGAACTCGTCATCTCTCCACTTTCATATTTGGTATGTTTAAAAGAGAAATGACTTGATCAGATGACCATTAAACATTTTTATTGCACTTATTTCTTCATCATAAAGTGTACTCCATTTATCTTTGGTATGTTTTTCTGTATGTAATGAAAAGGCCTTTTGTTTGTTTGACCCACAACTTCTTTATAGAAAAATCTGTTAGTCTTATTTAATATATTAACAAATATTTTTCACAGGAAATTATGCAATAAAAATAAATAATATCTGCATATGTATATATACCATATACAAGTGTATATATACACATGTATATATTACTCCTTGCAAATGGCATATTGCATGCATCTTTTGTTAGGACTACTCTTTAATGCAATTAGACAATCCAACTCTTCTGAAAAATATCAACACACAAGCATATATCGTTATTGGACAGTAGTTAAAATCGTAGGAATTTAGTTTTAACTCAATACTTGAATGTTTTGTCAAATTATACGGAAATATTTATAAAGTAATTGTCATTTCAACTGATTCACGATTGGATTGTCTAAATCCACGCGTGATAATTGTTCAAATATATTAATTATAATTTAAATAGATATTTTGACAGCTACGAGGTACTTAATGATAAATATTATCTATATATCTCATTATCAGAGTCAAGGAAAGATCCATTGAAAATGTTTTCTTGCTGAGCTTGGCAGACGAACATTATTACAATTAGTAATTACATTAAAGCTTGGTATGTGGAATAGCATGCCTGTAAAAGCCGCCAATTGTCTATTTAGAATCATATCGTCTTACCTAAACAAATTTATCTATTTAGCAGTTCGAACAAGAGCACATAATACGACCAACATTATAATTACTATATTTCAATATTTTCGACTGGCATTGCTCTTACATACTCCGGCAATATAAAAAATTAATTGCTTATATAGTTGTACTATTAACGCAGAGAGACAAAAGATTTTCTAATCGGTGGATCTTTGATAATCGATAGAGAATTTAATTTATATCTCTACGGGTACATTAAACGTACGTGTATGAGCGAGATGAACGGAAAACTACTTCTCGTAAATAATAATTACTTAAATCTCACTATATAATATTGCTTTTTTTTTACTCAAGTCTTTCACAATATACTAAATACTATAAAATTAATGAATTGAAAGGGAATGATGTTTAGTAGCAATTAAAAGATGTTTCTTTAGGCATTACGGTAGATATTCACAACGCGTCAGCAGGTCAATAATTAAAATCAAATATTGACATATAGTCTTGATATAATGATAACTTCTACCAACATCAAATATGTACAAATCATTTTTAGTTCGAGTAGAACGTAACTGTTATGTGTTACAATTTTGTGTTCACGTCATAAAATTATTCCAATTCGTGATGATTCTCTGAACACCGGAGAAAAAGATCCATGTTCGAAAATTAAATCTTCTGTTTCAATCACATATTCGTAATAAAAGTGCAGGGACTAATTGCACGCTAAGTTCAATAACAAATAAAGCTATTCCTTAACTAGTTCGTTCTTGTATTATGATTTCTGAACACTTTCTATTGTTGTATCCTTTTGTTTCAGATAGATCAGTAACGTCAAGGAAAGAAGTGCTATTGCTGCTGTTGCAGTTGTTGCAACAATGGACACACTTCGACTAAAGGTGTTCCTAGAATCTCTTGACACACTTGATTCATATCAGATTCCATCATAAGCGAAGAAATCTGATCCTCCGTCAACATTTCCACGCTAATTTTTATACAATTGAATTAATACACGATAAAAATGATTTATACGATCAAGTGTTTATAAAATATTACGTACCTCGCTAAACTTTCACTGTCGGATGTCTCTTCATCCGCATTCAAATAGGTCATTGTTTTTTCTAGTGGACTAGGAACTTTCTTTCCTCTTCCTTCAACCTTCTCAGACTTTTCACACTTCTCCTTATCTTTCTCTACCGTCTTTGGTTCATTGGAACGTCTGTCCGTAAGGCTAGATATGTTCAACATCATCATCCCATGATTGAGTAATTCTTTTACCCGTTCTCCCGTTCCAACGCTCCATAACATGTCGAGAGACTGCCTTCTACTCGAATTTGCTATAATAATTGATATAACGTTTTACTTATGCTCAATTAGTTAAACTACTGTCGAGTTTACTTTTACTTTTTATCGATGGACTCCTCGTTACATCAGCTTTCTTTTCGTTAGTTAAGGTAACTTCGTTTCCTTTTGACATAGTAGGTAACGACAGTTGTGTTATCAATTTCTTCCTAATAGATGCCTCGCTGAATTGTTGAATACTTGAACCATTTGTTGCTGGATTGATACCTTCTGGACTTAAGTCCATCGGTAATGGTTTATAAGGAATTTGATCCTCTTCGTCGGAATATATTTCGTTATGGTAGTACACCTCGTCTGGAGAATTATTTAAACTAATTTCTGTCCATTCCTCCCCATTTTGTACAACAGTATTAGTGTTCTTTGTTGCGTCAACTGGCGTTTGTATTTTCGCATTCTTTTCTATAGGCGAAAGAATGTTCGATAAGTCTGATAGCCGTGAAGTCGAATAACTCGTTTGATTTAATGTTATGATATGTTTCGTGTCAGTTGTCGCGATGCTTTTTGGACGGTCTCGCTTTATGTACTTCCGAGGTTCCGTAGAGGAGAGATTTAAGTTGCTTAGGCCCAAATATTCCGAAGAAGGTTCTTTATCGATCTAATTAAAGGCATAAATAACAATAGGTTCATGGATTTATCTCATGGTATTATGAATAACGAAAAGATAATTACTCTTATAGGCACAGGACACGGTGTACTAGGACTCATCTTATCAGGAAGGCGCAAATATTCATCGCTAGTATAATCGGTACTATCAGGTGATCCAGTAACACTGGAATCTGTCGGAGTTCCTGCATTAGTTTGCGTAGAATTTTGGTCGACTGTATTCCCCGACGGTTTGTCAAACTCATCTGTTCCATCGTACTTTCTAGTCTGTAAGTAAGAATTTAGAAGTAATCATAGATTGTTTAATGCCTGAAAGAATGTCGTTTTATAAAAGGTACAGAAAATAATTATACCCTATGGATTTCGTCACTGATTTTCTCTAAATTTCTCAGTGCTTCAGCATAAGTCATCTTAGCTTCACCCACTGATCTTTCTAATGCACTTACTCTTAATTTCTGCTCTTCCAACATTTGATTAAAATGCGCTTTCATTTCATAATATGGCCTACACAACAAATTCGTTGGTAATTAACAGATTTTATGGGATGTTCTATATTTTAAAGGAAAGTTTGCTATTCTTGTTGAATTTATCTTTCAAATATACTTTAAGAAGCTTGTTTAGGTAAAGCAAAATATAAATATATATATAAAAATGCTTGCCTGTTAAATATTTGATAAAAATATAGTTCGTGCATAAACCGGGTGACAGTTTTGAAAATAAATCGTTAGAATGGGGTTTATTCATAGCAAACGAATAAAAAAAGGGACATCATGTAAAAAAATAAAAAAATAACGTCTATCCTACTTACAACATGAGCAAGTTGTGCCTGTAGGCGATACTGTTTATCAGAAGCAAGCTGCGACGTGCACCCATACTGCCAACATGAATATAAACCAAAAGACATAAATATTCTAATATCTATACACAATTAGCATAACGTAGTAAACGATAAAAAATAAGTAATTAAATATTCATATGGGATAAACGTAAATAAGAATATTAAAAATCATAGAGCAAAAAATATGTCATCGTCAAAATATCGGATCTTAAAATTTACTTAGGTATATATTAAGTAATTAAATGCAATACATTCCATGCATTATTAAGTAAACTAAAAAATCATTCAATATCACTAGCTAAAAATGAATTAACGTGTATCTGGTACACACCTAGATTTAGCAATTGCACGTTTTAATTCACTTTGTAATCTTTGAACCTCGTGTTCTGCTTTGTGATACAAAGCAGTAGTATGCCTGTGTTCTGCTTCTGACAATGCTCTCTCATGTTTACATTCATTAACCCTGGCAGTTGCATGATTTAACATTTCCTATAAAAATTTATAGATCATAAAATTTGAGGAATTGATTTGCATATTTTAACTGAAGTATCACAGTGGAAGTTACCTGCCAGGCATGATCAAAACATCTTCCTTCTGTTCTCAACCCTTCTTCTGCTAAGTAAACCATTTCTTTCGCTGCTGCATGCTGACTATTGGCTCTTTCAAATCTAATGGCAGCCTTCTGTGTTTCCTGTAATGCCTGTAAGTTTTTTTAATTAAATTAATAATTCAAGTATATGATCTAACTGTATTGATTAGAGATATTCCTTACTTCTTTTGCTTTGAACCTGGCATCATAATAGGGTCTAGATTTCTCAATACAAGCACCAAGTTTCTTAGCTAAACTATCAATTTTTAATGTAGATTCACAAAGTAGTTCTCTAAAAGTTGCTCTTGCTTCCTGAAAATAACAGTCCATTATTTACACATAGGTAATCAATGTTTGAAAGAATTCATGTTTTCATGCATCTTAATTCACTTTGGTAAATTGAACAGATGTGAAGTTTCAAGTCATAAAACGTTTCTTTAGACCATGTTGTAAATGACTCTAAGATGATCTTTCAAGCCATTATCCATTTACTCATACGCTTTACAGCAATCACCTCAATGAAATGTAATCACAACCAGTTTCAAAACTTGGTACTAATTTGGTCCTCCAAAGAGGGAGTCAGTTATTTTAATTCATCGCAATCAAAAATTACTTTGTAAAAGAAATGTGAAACCTATAAGAACAGTTGAATTATACTTACATCCAAATCAACCTCAAGTTTGTTGATATCATCAGTAGCTGTATTCAATCTTTCAAGTTCAATCTAAAATGATAATTGATTATTAGCAAATTAATTTGGTTGACACTTGCCAAAAGTTTAAACAAAAATTACTGCAATAATTATTCTATACAATACATTTTCACACTAAATGGTACTCGTTAATTTGCAGATTAACCGGCCGAATTGATTTCGTGCTACTATAGCAAATGGACAATCAGAGTGAGGAAGACTGTACAAAAATATAGAGCGTTTTATAACGTGGCAAACAGAACGTATATCCACGAAAGGATTGAACTTTTTGCAGCAGTACCAAAAGAATCGTGACACTTGATAATTGCGACACATGTTTTAAAAATAATAAAACGTAATCAAGTGTTTTATTCGTGGTAACGTGGAAATGTCAATATCATAAGTAGCTAGGTTTTGAAGCCTATAAATTATTTCCAGAAGAACGCATCAGTTTACCTGCACTCTAGGATCTACTGCATCGTCAACGCGATCAGAATCATCGCCACTTTCTTTCTGCACACGTCCACTCATAATTAAAGTTAGAACTGAATATTATTTACAATTTTTCATACCACCTGTATCGTCTGCTACATATCAGGTGGCCATGTTGAATGTTAAAGCAACTAACAGTGCCGTCCACGTTAAAACGGTCAAGGGCACTTGTAAACTAGACGTTCTTTCCAATTACACTTTTCATGCTATAAAGTATAACGAAAATGTCGCAATATTCATGAACAATTTGTAGATTCAACCGAGCAATATTTTATGTAGCAAACGACGAAAGAAACCTATCTAAGGTTGGTGCAATATGTTTCAGAATGATTACCCCATGAAAGAAAATAGAGTGGGAAGGAGCAGGTAAAGATAACTGAGACTTATATACGAGCATATGCATTATATTGTAACGCAGAAGGAAGATTTTATGTACAATGTATTTTTAGACTCAAGTGGTAGTTTCGCTTAACCAAGTTCGTCTATACGAAACATGCCGCCATACGACGATAAACATGGCTACCCAAGTGATTGGACATGGCGTCGAACGTGTTTCTCGCTAATAGAGGGGGCTGCCTACTCGGCAGGCCCGCCTGAACTCTCAAATAGATTTTTTCTCATTCGCATTGGTGGGTTCTGTGTTGTCGGAACAGGTGGATTACGTCCAGGGAAAGCGGACGACGGTGTAGAAACGTCAATCGCCAAGTTGCAACAATAATTCATCGTTGTCGGTGAGTGAAAACATCAAATTACGCGACGTACCTGATGGATAAAAGGAATCTCACCATTTTCAACAGTTCCATTGTGTCGCGCCGGTTATTTACAGCAAGATAGAAAAAAAAAAGAAAAGGGAAACAGATAAAAAGGTGTTTTTAATCGATAGACACACAGGGACTTTCTATTTCGGCATTTTTACGTAGCGTCGGGACTACGAGCGGAATAGCGAAAGGCAACCGACAGACGAGGATAGATCAAGAACACGGGCAACGCGTAAAGGTCTGCTCGTGATCCGGACAACGCTTGGAAATGCAACGTTCCTTTAACAGAAAGGCGATCATAGATTGTGCATATTTCTGGTGAAAACATTTTCCTCTTTCGCGCTTTCTGTTTTTCACGTGACTCGCGGGACACGAGGGGATTTCAAATTCCCTCGATTCGCGCTTCTTTGCCTTATATGTTACACGTATTGTTTCACGCCTTATATTTTCACGACGTTTTACTCGGCTTACCTCTATCTTCCCTTCTCATTCTACAAATACGATTCCTCGAGTGAAATAAACGGCGGCAACACAATGTTGACATTTCGTATTTTATTCGATCGATCGCCGAATGAAGTAGAATATTCTACTAGATTCCTATCTGTTGATCGTTCAAAATCGTAAACAATGGATACAGCCTCAACGGATAAATCAAACTTCCGATGTCACGAGGTGAATTGAAACTCAAGGACAGATCGGGAAACGGTCCTCCATGGATACCACACGAAACGTCATAAAAGTCTCTTATAGCGTATTCCACTATAGCTGCATCACAGTTAACTTATTTTGTATTCGTCAAGCGAAAATGTATCCGATGTCACGACAAACTCACAGTACGTACGTGCGAGTTCCCTTTTCGTCGTAACTGATTCGATGAAGTGGTTCCATTGCTTGTACCGAGAGAGATCGTTTACCGTACTTGTCGTTTAATAAATTTACGCACGTCGTCGACCGCAGATAACTTTTCATATCACACGAACGCCCACTCGTCAGCTCGTTTCAATCGCTTCGACTTGATAGGTACAACTTTCAATTTTTCCTTGCTTTTCACTTTTCCTTTTTTCCTCCCTTCGATTCGACGTAAATTTCATTTCTCCGTGCAGTATCGAATTCATAGAAAAATTAACGAAACTCGAACGATCTTTTCAGCGAGATAAACATTTCACGGATCACCCGGTGCATAGTTGGAGAGATTCAAGCTGCATCGTTTCGAGGAATAAGCCGGTGAATGAGGCTTTATACCTGTCGTCCAAGAAGACTTCCCTTCGAGGACATTATCCTCTATCATTGTATATACATTCTTTTCTAAATATGTACCCCGTTACACATTCTTCTTCTTCCATTCACACGTTAATAAGTCGAAAAAACTGTCGAGTCGTGACATGTGTACAGAAAAGCAGGTTTCTCTTCTTTTTTGCCCGGTTTTCTTATCAAAGAATCCCTACGATTCTTGAATCCGTCGAACTGGATATACAAGCGAGCAAAATGTCTGTCTTCGAACGCGTGCACGTCCCGAATTATCATTTCAAATAATCGTCGTCGGTCAACAGCAGCAATCTGGAAACGTGTAACTAATGTGGTCGCACTTACGTAAAAGGATTTACAAGTATGTACACGTATATGTATATACACGCTAGCAGTTTTCAACTGTGCGATTACCGTGTTTTTCGTAATTCTGTTAACCGTGTTTTGCGAAACCGCACTTATCCCTCGATCCATCGAAAAAAAAGTTGCGGCCACGACTTCCAATATCGCGATGGCAATCTTTCAAGAAAGCAGGGAGAAAAACGTCGTCGCGAGGCGAAACAACTTACCTGCACAAGGTGATTGCACCTTTAATAATCTGTTTTCCCTTTGGTAAACAGTACAAGGTGGACAAACTTCAATTTCAATAAGGAATAAAAACTTCTTTAGACTTCCAGCAACGGAACAACTTCCTTTCCTCGTAGACACGTTTCTTGGAAAGTTCTAATAGATTTGTATCTGTTTCCCAGGAAAGTGTAGAAAGGTCCTCGAAGCTTTAGCTACGTTCTAACATGAACTCCCAAGAACTCTTCAGGAGGTTTTTAATCCGTTCAAGACAGAATATCTACAGTCTTCGTAGATGATCGAGAAGCTGGAAAACTTGAACAACCTTCGACAAAGTAAACTAGCTACGGCCCTGTGAGAAAGTCACGGGGCAACAGAGACGACTTCGTTGTCGTTTTCGTTTCGCTTTGTCTCCGTGTTCTACGTAACCGCGACTTGTGTTGACGTGCTCGCTCGTCTACAGATAACCGCGTATTATTTCTACAGAAAAGATGCTCCAGGTGGTATATTCGTAATGTGTAAAGTGTGACTATTCTGGTCCAAGGATAATACCAGAGTGACGCTTCTTTTCAACAATTTTTTCCTCAAGAATGCAAATAAATCGTTCGACTGAAACTCATTAATGTCCGTTCATCCAGAGAGCCTAATTTTAATACGCATAAGTTTCTAATTACATTGTGTCTGAAGAGACGCACCTTGTTGCTGAATAATTATGCACGCTTGGATACTGCAGCACGACGTACGTGTCTTGTATAACGATACCGCGGAAATCATTCTTGGATGCAGCACGTGGCTAATTTCTTAGCATCACTTAGGATTATAAAGACGTTTGCGAACGTTGGACAACTCTCATATAAGAAAAGAATTTTTTTTTCTTATCTTCCAAGTCTACGTATAGTCTGCGGAATAAGTATGACGAGATCGTAAATTAAAGCATTAAGTAGCGACACTAATCGGATCGAGGTTTCCGTCGATATGCTCGAACGTGCAAACTTCAACGCCTCGCTCGATCTCGCTGTATTTCTTCCATCAACTATACGTCCAGTTTGAAAAGAACAGTATTATGTATATACGAATGCTACCCGGTATATGACCCGTCACGGGACACAACGTTGGCGCACCAAAAATGCGGACAGAATGGTTGGTTAGCGGTCAAGAACACGGTCGAAGAAACCAACTGATAATACACGCGTGGTATACGGGGAGAACGCGTAATTAATGCAAGACCGTGTTTTTTTTTTTTTTTTTTTGCGTACACATTCGTAAACGGAGGTTCTACCACGAAACATACGTGAAAAAGGTCATTGTGAAGAATAAAACGTGCTGGAACTGGTGTCCAGAATCGGAGCGTCGCCCGTTACAAACACGTAAATCGCATTTACAGCTTGACGATTAAAGTGTTAATTGTCCTTTCGACTTCTTCGCGATGGATTCGCTCGCGAATTTGTAATACGCACGTCTCTGTTACTAGAAGATTTACCAAAAAGATTTTCGTCGCTGTTCAAATACATGAAAGTTAATTTTTTATTCGGTTACTCGTTGATTGAACAGGTGAAGAAACAACACCAATACATTAACGGAGAATTGCCCGCGCGGAAGTGCTCGTTTCTCTTCTTCATGACCTTCGATTACGTATCGTTGACGCGGAAATTATATGTCACGAATCTATCAATTGCATTCTTCCCTCTTCCGTGATAATCAACGGAGAATTGCCGGTTAAAGTCTAAGCTATTTGAAATATAGGGGTAGTTGAATATTTAGCAATTTTCAGCTTAGCTTTTCCACATGTTTTAAGTAATTTCGTAGACGAATACTGGTTGGGAACTGTAATTCTACGAGAATATGAATCGATGTGGACAAGAGCGAGGGAGGGAAACCTTTGCAATGGTTGCTGGTGTACAGATAGGCGTAATCATCTTTGACTATCGCTTCGGCTCGTGTTTCCTACGTACTGAACATCTGCAAATATCTACATTAATTGTTTCCTATTCGACGTTTATCAGGTGGGCGTACAGTTCGTTTACTGGTGTACGATCAAATTTAATACTTTGTCAGAAAAAGGGGAATCATACTTAATAGTTCATTTTATTCTTTCAATTGATCTTTTCTTTTCTTTTTCTACCAGATGCAAGTTTGAATGGTTTGTAACGTGCATCAGGATGCTTGGAGCACGATATCAGCGATACGCAACGAAAGGTTTATGCGTCGACACTAATATGTATGTCAGGCATAGTGAATCGAGATATACTTTCCCTGCTTTCGCGCGTATCCACAGTCCAAGACGAGTTCGCTAGCGATCGAGTATTGTCCGTGGTGGCCAACAGTGAAACCGGAACTCGAGAAAGTTCCAAAACGATCGTCGAGTCGTGGAAATTCCATTCTGTCTCCGGACAGATGCACTCAAATATCAGGCTCTTCCTAGAAAGAGAATTCCGGCAGCGTGAAGACGACACTGGTCCAAGACGGGCAGACGGTCAAAACAAAAATTGTGCAATCATCCCTTTGCTATTTGATTGTATAATGAATGAGCAGACATATGCGAAAAAAACCGGTTCCCAGTTGCCGTGGCTGAATCATACCTAAAACCTGTCGACTTCTTTCACGTTCACATTCACATCAGTTTCACGATGACGTTCATCGAAGCGCGTGCACCAGGAAAACACAACAATTCGTGCTTAAGTGGATTCATATTAAACAATACATTATCTTCATTGTATAGTCACGTTGCCGTGTTACGTCTGTACCTTGGAAATTCCGCTAATTTGCCATTTTTCAGACCAGCAATTCCTGCATTCCTTCATATTCATACTTCAAACATTGAAACTGCGTTCGTAGGGATACGAAGAGCATGGAATTTTTTCCCAATCTCAGTGCATAATTATACCGAAGAATTTCGCTAAGGGAAACTAGAGGCGTTCCTCTTTGTGAGATCCATTTGCGGGCTGTTCGCATGGAAAATATTCCTGTTGCGCCAAACTCTGCGAAGCTACTTTCATACGCTCGTGGCGATTTTGTAATTCGGCGTTATTTTCTCACGCATAGGCGGTTGCGTTCGTGGTTCTCGTGCTTTTAGATACAAAGAAGGCAAGACGGGTCCGTATAACGCGGATTGACTGACGCTGGTTACATAGAAGCGCGAATATAGCGCGCGTGCATCCTGTTGTAAAGTCTCGTCCTAAATTTCTCTTGGATTTCATGAGACCTCGGAAGTGGACAATTTTCGTGTCCATTCATTGAAGAAAAAGAAAGGAAAAAAGGTGAAAAAGAATAGGAAAGAATGGAATATGAAGAAAGGCGACAAACTGCGTCCACATGTCCTTCGATATCTCGTTGTACGTGTATTCACTGATATCTCGTGGAAATCAAATTAATCCGCGATCGATTACGAAAAAACAAAAAATCTCACCGGCTGGCTGGAGGGATATAAATGGATCTTGTTGCAAGAATACGCTATCCTTCCCCCTCGATGATCCGCAGCAGAAGAGGATAGACAACTTCGGTCTCGGTCGTGGCTGGTACCGCCATCCTCTTATCCCTTCTCATTCTATCGAATCGTCTACGATCGCAGATCGTGCCTCTGTCTTTGTCCAATATCTCTTCTCTTTTAAATCTTTCATACTTTACTTTACCTATCGAACGATGTCTCGATAGATTCATTTACCTATACATCATCTTCCCCAGATCGATATCTTTGACAATTCTAACGAATTACTTGAATATTTCAGTATACGCGAGAATGGACGAAGAGAGTGAATCGATATGAACGCTGTAAATGCTAAAGAAGATGAATGCTTCTCGTAGGACACCTCTAATGGCGATCCGTTGCAAAGTCGAACGAAAGTAGATGAGGACAGAGGACCATGGTCTCGACCGTGGCTGGTACCACCACCTATCAGGCCTTCTCATTCTACCGAATAGTGTTACCAGCACCGATTCGACTCCCACGACTGGTTCAGCCAGTTGAGTCGGTCGAGATCGCTCGTGCTCGGCCAGCTCCGATAGCACTCGTTGCTTCTGCAGCTTGTTGTCTGCTCGACTTCGCTCGGTTTCATTCGGCTAATCAACGTGCGCGCCGATCAGTTCACCATGAGCCGTCGACCGGCTCGCGTTCTTTGAGTTTCATCATTTTGTTTTCTTTTTTTTTCTCCTCTTTAATTTCCTCGATACCACCTGGTTCTTTCGCTCGTGGCCTCGTCGACTGCACCTTATAGTTTCGTTCGCGAATCGCTCGATCGTGGGTATGTGTTGCGTGCGACTCGTTTAACTATTCTGGATATATCCGTGGTGAACGTAAAGCTCGCGGTAAGTCTTCATTTAAATTGCGTTCTCTTGCTGCGACGTTCCGAGCCTTCTCGACTGGTTGGTAATTTTATTCGTTCAACTAATAACGGATGGAAAGAAAAGTTTGAACGTTCGTATTGGGAGAGGAGCGTTTCCATTGTGTAAATTCGAAAGTCATCGGTCGCAGCTGTGCGTAGTTCGTTCGTACAAACGGAGAGATCGCGATTGTCCTTGCGAGTTAATGCATCTAGATCAAAACGGGACATCGCGAGCGGTTTTTTTTTTCACCGAGAGAGGGGAAAAAAATGGTGTTCGTTTACGGTTTCACTTTTCATTGACCAACATCGTGACCGTTCGTTCGTTCGTTCGAAAGGTTTACGAGCGAGATTACGTTATGCTCTTTGTAAGTGAAATCCCATCGGCTCCTCTTAAACGTTCTACTTTCTACCAACGTTGTGCTATTTACTTTCTTGCATAGAAATTGCTCGTAATTGATCGGCGTGTAACTCGGTAATATGCAGGGAACGGTAATAAACGCGAAACATCTCGAGCTTGCATTATAACCAGACTTTAATTGTTCAGATTTGTAGCGTCTAGAAGATAACGAGATCGTATAGTTCGTGTGTTCAAAGTTGCGACAACAGTACTGGAAAAAAAATCGTAACCCAAAGGCTATCGATCGGTTTAATTGTAGATATGTAAGTGGATTAAAAAAAAAAAAACAAGCAGATGATTCGTGGTGCATGTGCAAGTGAGGCAATTATCACAGTCGAAAGGTCCGATGCGAAAACGAATGTCAAAGGTCTCGGTATTCGAAAGAGCACGATACGTTTCGTGGAATTGAATTGAGAGATAACTCGCCTGGCGCCTCTGTTCATTTTTCTTTTTTTCCGCTGTTGCATTTAAATACGCATTCTGCACCGCGCAGAATCTTCGTGGTACCATTAAAGAATGTTATTCGCGTGTTGTAAATGTAACAGTAATGACGACCAGTTGCATTATGCAATGACCAGGCAGTCTGAATAGTGGACATTAAATTTCTATCTTCATTTTTCCAGCGTTTTGCTCGAATAGTACGAACCCGTAACACAGTACCCGCATGTGGCGATCGTAATGTGTATGTTTAGAGGCAGATATAGAGCGAATAGAGATGGTGAGGACATTGCACCGCATCGAAGCTGCATAAATGTTCTACGATTCTGAATCAGAGGAACGACTAATTGATCGTTAGAGGCGGATTACTTTATTTAGAGGATAAAAGTCGTGGGAACAGAGACATGTTGTTAGCCGAAACGCGCGAAACAGGCTTAACTGGGACAATGAGTTTCCACATTGCCATTGGAAAGCAGACAAAAAACACGAGATGCATCGCCTCGAGCAATAGGACGTTTCGACGCTGTTAAATCGTCGCGTAGACGCGTTTCTTTTTTGATAAATCGTCAAATCTGGGTCACGATCACGACCCACGATGCTTTTTTTCTCTCTCCTCTAAACAGATCGCCTGGAAATCGTTCACGCCGTCAGAAACCCGGGAGAAAGTGCTAGACCGACCATTTTCTAATTGTCCGCATCCGCTGGAAAAATAGCCGGCAATTATTGTCCGCCCTGTTGAATGTATGGTTAATCAGGGATTAATGGTGGTATGTGAGATACTCCGGGTAATGAGTCGCGAAAGAAGCTTGTAAGTTCTTCACATTCTTCCTTTTTCCTTTTTTTTCTTTTCTTTCGTTTCCTCCTCTTCGTTCCACGCGCTAACGATCTCGCGTTCGATTTCACGCGAAAAATACTTTCGATGAAATCCTCTTAGCGCGTTCACTTGAAATTAGAACCTCTGGCCTCGCTGCTTCTCTTTAAATTACACTCACTTGCACCCCAATGTAATAACCGTTTCAATGGCAGAGCACGAGGTTTGAAAGTACATTCCTGAACGAGGGGCGAGGACGATTAGCCAAGATTGAATTAACAACGGCAACTAATTGACTGATTCTACAGATGGTGACCAGAACGGTAGAACGTGTACGATACGATGGGGCCCAGTCTCACCTTGAACGTTATGCAACCCGTTATTAACATACGCATAGTCTACGTTGGCCGGGGTTAGTTTCATAGAAAAACTACGCCATATCCACTGGTATCTAATGGGTTCTGCGTCTGAACTGTGCCAGTGTCTGCGACAGGGCCAATTAGAAAATTCCACACCGTAGTGCAGCTTCTCTCTGCTCTTGCACGCGCTTTTTCCCTTCTGTGACGTTGCTGCGTCGCTGTTAAACCTTTTACCGTGTCTACATTCTAACGGTCATCTAATAGAGTAATTACGTTGCCTCGTGCGAGATGTGTACAGTTAAGTCGACATTTAACTCGAAACATTTGTAATATCCATGTGTTACACAGAGGAGATGGGGAAGAAAAGGAATACAGAAGGATGTATAATTGGCGAGGAAAGTCGCTCGACGCTTCCGTCGACGACGAACCAAACGTTCCATTCGCAACTCGTACGAAATTGGTGGCGAAAGTTGTTGACATTATACAGGATAGGAACGCGCGTAGTTACGGCCAGCGTTTTATTCATTATTCATGACGGGAACTTCTCGGTAATAATACATTTTAATGATTTGTAAATGGACCGGCGCGGCGGTTTCGATAATGCGCCTCGACGCATGAATCGCGGCATTGTTCTTTTGTAGAAACAAACGCGTTAACTCGTTCCCCTGCTGTTCTTTCTTTCCGTTGCTTCCCTTTTTTCTTCTTTACTCTTTTTCCTGGAGCAGGAAAGTTCAGAACGTAGAGGTGTCTATTACAAGGGAACGGGTTAAGAAAGGTAGTGGATACCCGTAATGCGATACTAGCGCGAGTACACGCGGAACGACTGTGACTTTCGCGGTATTATTAGCATACGTTTTCTCGATGCGGCGCATCATTCGCGTGGAATGCAGAAAAATGCCCAATGTCCACGCGATTTTCGCTTGGAGAAATCGGATGCAATAACCACGCTCGTTTAGCAATAAGGACAGCGTATATATGTATACTACATTCCTCTCACTTGCGTTTATAATACTCGTCCGTGCGTACTCTTCGTTTCCGTAAACATTTGTACGTTAACGTTTGTTAGATAATAGAAAAGAGCGAGGCTTAAAATAGATGTATTTTTATCTCGTGCTGCGTGCAATATCTCAGATGAAAGAACGATGAAAGACGAATTGAATTGTATTTGGAATATGCATGCAGGAATTCTGTGTAGAGAGCTCGAAGAGACTTTCATTCTGCTAGATCAGCCGGATCGTTGACCGTTAGCCCGTACACTCTTGCCAGCGTGGTTATTTGTTTCTAGTACCCGCGTAAATATCACGCGCGTTACCGGCTGCTACGTGAAAGGGCCGCTCACCCCTGTGCAAGATGCACGTGTCGTGCGTGCAAGAAACCGCGCGTGTCACACGTGGCACCTTCTGCTTCCGATTCTTTCTTCGTTCTTTACCTGCTCTATTCTAGCAGACGAGCGGTTGGAAACGGAACACCCAGTAGACTATAGAAGCACAAGCTGTCATGCAACAGGTGTTGTACGCGCGGCAATTGAGGTGTGCTACCGGTTACCACTAGCACCGCTCGTTCCACGTACGAATCCTCGCGTAATTTCTCAGTCATTACGATTCATAAGATCTACGCTGTTGAATGTGTTGCACGCTATAAACGTTCCGTAAAATATGGCAGTTTTATAATCGTAATTAAGAAGTATCCTTGAGTAAACTGTTGTCCTCGCTGGTCGTCGGAATCGTTAACGAAGTTAGAACTCTGTAAATCTTCTCTTGGGTAATTCCTTCAACGAGATTCGTTAGCTGGTTCACCGATGACGAGTATAACGATGGGAAATGATTGTGTCACCGAGAACGACGAAACCCAGTTCTCATGAGTTCCAAGACCCGTGTAGGACGAACGCACGCAAGCTGAACGCGATTCGAACGAACGAACGAACGAACGACAAAGAGGAAAGGGATTAGAGTAGAGCGTAGAGCATGGGTGGTGGAAGGTAGGGCAAGTCACGGAAAGGCACCAGGTTCCATTCCTCGGTGTTGTGCGCTGGGCAACAAGCGGCACAATACCACACGGGCCAGGCAAACGCTTTGGTCCGACCTCTTTGTGGCTACGTGGGAGGAATAGGAAGTCGTGCATTAAATCCGAACCTCCACCTTTCAACGCTTAAACGCTTCTCAAATAGAATGTACAGGATACCGGCGTGAACCGGCACGCTCTGCTCACAAAAGCGAGATCGTGATTGCGCTCATTTTTCAGTTAACATACGAGGAATTCTACTTCTTTCTTGTTACTCCCTTTCTGTATCTCCACTTGCTCTCGAGAACAACAGAAAGGGATGACGTTAAGCTCTGTCGTTCGCTCTTCGATGATATAGACACTTTTGAAATTTCAACATCGGTCCGCTGTATCGTCGAACGATGAAACATAGATCGGTGTGAGTAATGATAATGAGATCTGTATTACTTGCACAACGATACAATGAACCACAGCCTCTCTGGTCTGTTTAAGTAACGCGTCAATGCACACTTGATCTAATTGAATATACAGCGGTCGCGAAGTGTGAATAGTGTCATGTGCGAGATGATGAAACGCGAAAGGATTTAGCCTTCGTGTCCAAGGCTGACTGCTCGAACGGCGAACAATCGTCTGCACTTTAAGCCGGTTTTACGCGGTTTACCAATCCACTCGAGGAACAATGAGACACCGCAGCTTCGATAGCAGCCAAGCTTGTTACGGTTCCTTTTGATTATCGGGAGCCGCGTTCGTCCAAACGAAACGTTTCGCAGAATCGACACTCGATAACGATTCTGGAAAATTACGAAAAACCGTTCGTTAAAATTATATCGCCAACTGCTCAGCGACAAGATGTTCTCTTTCTAAATGGACCACACTCTCTCACAGGATATATTGTCGGCGATTATTTTATCTATGGCAGGCACTCTCGATTGTATAATCGAAACAAACCGAGGAAAAAAAACGCATCGTGGCTCTTCCCACGATACTCGAGCAGTGAAAAGTCGTTTCATCTACGATATTACGCAACCGTTTTCGCTTTTAATTAATAAAATCGACGATACTTCTTTCTTAGATACCGATTATATTGGGAACGGTGTGTTTGATTTATGTCTAACCAGAAAAGGTAATTTCTTTTTCGATGTTTGGATTACAGGTGTCGGTGAATAGGGGGAAAATTAAAGAACCGACAATATGAGAAACTCAACGCTATTGAAATGGGCGCAGAACTCGACGAACAGTAAAAACCAAACCAACAAGAATGGCGGTGAGCAGATTTCGTTTTGCGATCAAACGCGTGCGTTCGATTGTGCGTGTATATGATCGGTGAATTCTATTTGCAGGAACAAATAGGAACTGGATACACCCACCGGATGCGCTCCAAAAAGGCCACATCGCCTACTTAGTCAAGGTACTGGTTACTTTCATCGCTAGAGAACGAGAATGGAACAAGTAGTCGCATTTTTAAGGACAATTAAAAGTACAAGAAATATCAACGTTTCTTTAAGCCAAAGAAATTCGAGATTGTTTCTCGTAAACTGCACACGCCAGCTATGTTAATAATACCAAAGTTAATAACAACCGAGAGTAGCAATTCAGCGAGGTCGTAGTTTGTTGCAAAATCGCAAACGAAAATAAATCAATCTCAATTACGACGCCATTCGATGGATATTCCTCTAGATATCGGGTTATTTTTTTTGTTTTTTTCGCAAACATTAAGGTCAAGATGTCCTCCATCGTTGTATTTGCATAGGAGAAATAAACTTACAAGATAGACTAAACCGGAAATTCGTAGATATCTACTTGGAATCGTTCGATCTGCGCAAATTGCTCCGACGGCCAGTGTGTTAGAGTTTTTCTTCGCGACGATAACGCGAAGATGCGCAGAAATAATTCACGTCGTCCGACGAAGAAAGAGATAAAAGAACGTTTCGCAGAGTCATTGAGGATTTTCTTTGACGCGTATGGCGTGAAAATAAACTGCGAGGAAATAAGCGTACTTTTTATCTGTCATCGGTGTGTTGTAACCTGGCAAGGTCGTCGTTCTTTAAATCATCGTTTTTTCAACAATCGATGGAATAGCCATAAGGATGTTTAAATTTAGCGTTTATTTCGTGTCGATTAAATTCGCATAAAATTATGAAAACATTGTTTTTTCGACACTTTTTCTGACGTTTCTCTGTTTGCTCGTTCTTTTTCCACGTTTCATTTACTCCTGTCGCTCGAAAAAGTTGCATAATCCCCTCACGGTGTTCGCGTCTGCCTTTCATTTCTCTTCGCGAATCGCCAGTGGAACTATACGAGTGTCACTTTCGGAACGCGAATGCACACACGTCCGCAATAACGAAACTGGTCGAAGTTGGAACGCGCGAAAAGTTCGTTGTACCTTGAAATTTCGCGACGGAATAGATTTCACTATTCTACAGAGCGAAACGAATGAGCCCTCGCCGTGTACACCGTCTGTTTTTTTTTTCAATTATTATTTTGTATTCTTATTTTTAAGTTACTTTTTATTGAAAATGTTCAACGTTCAAACTTTGTATGAAATTTTACTGCTTCGCCGATTCCATGTAAATTGCACGCGATAAAGTTGCATATTTTATATAGGCTGTTTGCCACAAAGATAAAACCGTTGAATCAATCAACGTTACAAAGTACTAATCGTATGGAGGCTCTGTATTCGCTTAATAATTCGATATCTCCTTGACCATTGATCTCGATGTCGTGGCACATATCTTTTCATCCGTATGTCGGCCAAGTAATTATTATGGAGCAATGGTTTATGATAATCATCGTGAACGCGTGTATACGATTGTGGAATGAAGAGAAAAAATGCAGGATGTATAATGGAACGTATAACGCAACATCTGCTTGTACGATTATCTCAGACTTCTCTTCGATTAGAAACTAGAATATTTGAATTGTAATTTAGGTGTTCTGCTTTTTTAGTACTTGGGCAGCACAGAGGTGGATCAACCTAAAGGCATCAAGGTTGTCAAAGAGGCAATTTGCAAGCTTAAATTTAATCAACAGTTGAGGAAGAGCGAAGGTACGAAGACTCCTAAAGTGGAACTCACTATAAGCATCGATGGAGTTGCTATTCAAGAACCTAAAACGAAAACAACGCCAAAAGTATTACATCTTTCTAACGGCATGCTATTAAAGAATTATCCAATAGCGATTTTAAACGAATGATTTTTCTTTAGCGGATTATGCACCAGTATCCACTGCATAGAATATCATACTGTGCCGACGACAAGGGCGAAAAGAAATTCTTCAGCTTTATCGCGAAAGAGGAAGACGCCGAGAGACACACGTGCTTCGTCTTCGTTAGCGATAAATTAGCTGAAGAAATCACGTTGACGATCGGTCAAGCCTTCGATTTAGCGTACAGGCGGTTCTTAGAAACTTCTGGGAAAGATCTGGAAACGCAGAGGCGTTGCATGGTATTGCAGCAAAAGATAAAGCGACTGGAACACGAGAACAACGTGTATCGCCAGCGGTTACAAGATATAGCTGCTATCAAAGGATCGGTTGGTTTCACCGACATGAATATATTATATTTTTAAAACGGAAGATGCACTATTTCAGGAGAATTTTTTTGTAGGCTGATGTGTCAGCATATCTGTCACAACACAATCTTCCGGATATCCTGCACGTGCCTGGCGCTACGAATGAAACAACGCAAATAAATGGATCGAGTAATAAGTCCTCTCTTGGCATAAGTAACGACAGTAATGGGAATACCTCGAATGGATCACAACCTCCTCCAGTTCCTCCTAGAAGTTTCGAAAAATCCTTCGACGATAATTTCATGGGGTATGTAGAAATGTCTCGGTAAATGTGCTTTAAAATATTGAGAGAATATTTAGGAATTAAATGATTTTCCGTGAATAGAAGCGAGCCAGCTCCAACACCGTCAGTTGGTACCAAATTGGAGGGACTTCTGATGGACGAATTCGAGGAAGATTTTAACCCTAGGGCGTACGAAAGTGCAGCTAATGGACTGGGTAATCATCAAACGAATCACAATTCTCTTTTAAACGGTCAAGTATCCTCGAATTCCAACTTCTTTTCACAAAGCAATGGCACTACAAGTCCTCCACCATTATGTGAGCTGATTATTCACTACCTTCGATAATGAATATTAATCATATCATCGCTGTTTTTTTTTTTTTTTTATTGTTTCGTTTCATTCAGTGGCCCCACCACCAAAAGCAAAGGATTCTAGACGTCAAAACGGGGTGAAAGAAGATTTATTTGGTAGCATCCCCTTCAATCCTCCGCCACCTGTGAACGCAAAAAATGAATTCAACGATCCGTTTGAAATGGGCGAATTCGGAGCAACACCGGCGATTTTTAATCCTAGCCAGCAAGAATTAGAAAATGCGATTGGTCTTTTAGATAAGAAGCTGCTCGAGATGAAGGTATATCTCGCGATCGATATAAGATTGAAATGCATTTAAAGATAATAATGATTAATTGTGTTGATGTTTCAGGATGGTTTTAGTAGAGGTCTTTCTATCGACACCGATGATTTTTCTTTGGAAAGCTTGGATCCGCTGCGGAATTGAATCAAACGTTTCTTTTAAAGGGAAAAAGATTGAAAAGAGTAATTCGTTGTCGTCTGTTCGTTAGAGAACATAAAAGTCCCGGAAATGAATAGGCAAATTAGGAACTACATTTATGCGAAACCAAAATTAGTCAATTATTACTATAATTATGCTAATCGTATATTTATCGTGATGTTTGATATTTATCAAATGCCTATTGAATATGGATAGTCGCTTAGGTCTCGCTACCGAACGGTGCAGAGATTGTCAATTATTAAAAAACACAGGGAAACAAATGGTATTGATACTCGTATAATACTTTTGTTAATACTGTTTGTTTCTTGTTATAAAAATTTGCATTACTTTAACCGAATGTAAGGAGGCAAAAATACGAGATATTTTAACAAGATTTCCTATCCTAATTCATCGTAGATGAAGCGAGCTAAGAATGATAAAGAAAGAAATAAGTTTTCTTCCTTGTTTCTACATGCATGAGTGAAAGAACAAACTACTGTGCCTTGTATCAGCATTTAACGGGCTAAATCGAAAGTTGCCCTTAAAACCGTAGGCCTAGTTCTTCTTGTTAAAGTTAGGAACTGTAACTTATAATCCTTACTGTTGGGAGATGATCCATTCCGTGGATAGGGTACCCATATATAAAGTGTGTTAACACTTTCTTCCATCATATCGCTATATTCCTTTCCAAGCGTGTGAAAGTTAGAATCATGTCAAGCTATCGTTTTTAATCGTAATCAAGCGAATACCGCGTTATTTTTAATCGAGAAGTAACAGAGGGCATAACGTAGGTGCCTTCATTATCGCAGGGTTCAATTAAAAAAAATATTAGTAATATATTTTTATGCATCTTTCCGTCGTGAATTGAAGCACTAACTGAAATAGCAATAGAAATCATTACTATTAATAGATGGCTGTATACCTAACATCTGAATCTCTTCTACCGATCTTTCATCTTCTACTTTCCTTTACCCGTTCTTTCATTTTCCATTTTATTCATTCAGCATCGTTATAATATAAAGAAAAAAAGGAACGGAAAACATAAGGAAAATGTAAAATGGTATGAATGCTGTGTAATATCTTAGTCATAAATTTTGCAGACACTTATGCATGCATGTAAATGTCATGCAATCTTTAAGGTCATACAAGATGATATTTGATACAATAAGAGAAAGATTATGAATTATGTACATATGAAATGCTGTTTTATTATTGTTGCTCTATTGTTTAAGCATTATCGTTAACAATATAATGCGTAAATAATGTAGCTGAGAAATTCGTTTTATTTAACCTACATTCGTAAAGCATGTTCAACTCATTAGAATTTTGAAATTTTGAAATTCGATAAATCAATCTTCGATAGTTTCGATATATCGATTTTTCAGTATCGATTTGCGATGTCAGATTTCGATTCTCGAAGCATTCCAGTATGGTTGTAATATTCGCTTGTTCCTTTAAACGAGAATAAATACACTTTGCAAATTATTGAAATAATGTAAAAGAGTACACTAATAAGTAGAATAAAGTATTCAACTGCGAACAAGTACCCATCGGAAATAGCTAGGTTCAAGAGTTTTTCAAATATAACGTAAAACAGTATAAGAAATGTATAGACGCCATTGGCTATGGTATGATTTCGTCTATTTCATTTACTTTCAATTTCACATAAAATTTTTTTTAATATCTATATATTTTAATACGTTTCCAATAAAAAACTGTAAAGCATCGCATATTAATATATCACGTTTTACGAGCGTTTACTAGAATGCCGACTGAAAGTCGGTAAACTCGAATTGCATGTTCCTCCGTAGTGAGGCGCCATTGTCGTAAACGTGGCGCGGCACGCGCTGCGTCAGTATTCCGCGAGCTTCCATCGCGTTCTGTTGGGGTGTAACGTTGAGAAGGACTCGTCCCGTACTATAGTGAACTGCGGAGAACGAGAAAAAAGTGCCTTTCTTCTAACCTAAGGAGCAAGAGCTAATCAAAGGATGGCGGACGACAGCCACGAGAACGGCACCAGCAACGGCGATGTGCCTGAGATCGAGCTGATCATCAAGGTGAGTTTAACACGCGTGTAGTGAAGACGAGGAAGGAGGAAGAGATCGGGAAAAAAGGCGATCGTTTCGTGCACGATATGGGCGTGGAACGAACGACTGGTTTCTTCCTGTACTTTCTTCTTCTTCTTCTTCTTCCTTCCTCCTTTCGATCTTTCTTCTCCTTTTCTATCCGGTGATGACCGAGCGGCGCCGAAACGACCGTTTGTGACAAAGATTCGTTCATCGAAAATAGAGAAGCGGGGTTTACAGTGACCATTGACCGTTTACCAATAGCGTCCAGCCGCTTCTCAAACACTTTCTTGTTTTCCTTACCCTTCTTAATCGTAAGACGTCTGAAATCGACCTGGATGACAATAAGTTGGACTTTGCCTCCCAATTGAAATATGGTGGCTCGCGAATCGTGAACCGTTGTGTCGGGAAGCTTTTCATATTCGTCGATGACTAATTGCAAGCACGAAGGGACACACGTATGAACGTATACGGAACGGTTTCTTGCGAGGAAACCGACGTAACGCTGCGCGAAGAAATACATATACATATGTCCAAACTGGGATTCTGGTTGGCCGCGTTTCTACGTCATTGGCTCCTCTCCGGACGAAAGAAACCCTCGACACTTGTCTCGTGGTTCGTTTTCGCAGTAATATGGTTATTTTTGGGTCGTTTTATACCACTAGGACAAGCGTCCCTTTCTCCTTCACCCGTACCCACCCTTTTTCCCGCGTAATTCCTCGTAGGAAATATAGACAAGCTGTCCAACTGCCACCACCGCGACGCATTTAACGAGATTAGAAGCATTTGTACACATAGTCGAACGTAGGATAAGAAAATGACCACTGGAACCTTCCACTGTGTTCGTAACGGAGGAATTGCAATAATTTATACATCCAACTGTTAACACATTAGAAGTTTTTTTTTTGTCAGATAATTTTTATTAGCGTTGACCGCTAATACGACCTTTGATCGATGATTTTATATCACGATCGAATGGATAGGTAGTTGAAACATGTTTCTAATCGATTGTTTCATTGCATTCTCGTATCTTGGAAATTGAATACCCTACGTGTTATCTATAAAGTAAGAGGACGTGCATTCTTTAACCAGATATAGAAAAACGTGATAGACTCCTGTGGCAATCGATTTAATCGAGATCGAACTCGATTCCACTTCTTGGAACTTTCTTTCAACATATTTTCTAGGAAAAGCTGGCCTAAGAGGAAAAGAGGCTTCCTTCAATTGTCCAATTACACGTTGTCGATTAAACTTTCGCCAATCGTATCGACTCGAACTCGCTTCAACTGTGTCGAGCTGCTAATCGAGCCTCGGGCGACTTCAGGCAATGTCAAACCGCGCTAATCTTATCGCATCTGCTTCCATGCGGACCGCCAAAGTGTGCTAAAAATATGTAACGTGTAAACAGGTCTTCTGTTATCGTTGTTGGAACGTAATAAATAAATAAGTAGATGAATGTATCGATATAACCGAATGTTTCGTAATACGTCGCAGTAATACACGCGAATACTCGATTTATATCGATCTCTTTCATCGAAAGTTCGACGTTCTCCCGCCATTTTCCACAATGGCAGAATACTAGTACGGTCAAATGTGAGGATAACTCGAAAGTTTTCATGAATTTAAAGCGACTCGAAAGCGTTCTTGAAAGTCTCATTAATCTCAGCCTATGATTTCAGTAATTGTACGCTGCCGACATTGTTATTAGATTAGAATTTTTATTGCTAATCAGTACGCAAAATCTTTAATAGTCAGTCATTCGACACACCGTTAAGCTTAGTAACTTTAGATTTAATCTGATTTTAAGGAGCACCGTTCATGAAGATAAA